TCAATGTTAAACAGCCACTGCTCTTTAAATCCACACCCAAGCTTATTCTGTACTAACTTCACAGGCAAAAAAGCTTTAGGGAAAATACATTTAAAATAGAGAAATGTTTTGGTCAACATGTGATGAGTATCAATATTTTCATAACAAAATTCTGAAACCAAATGACAAGCTATTCACATCTAAGTGTTAATGAGTTTCTGTTAAGTTCATTTGGCAGTTCCTTGCCATTATTTATTTGCTGTATTTGATCTTGCACACAGTAGATTGATTTACTGGCATTTAAAGGTGACTGCTTTACTTATTACTTTAACAATTACACTGATCTCTCTAGTGCCACCAGCATTTTACCAGTGACCTCAGTTCTGCTTGCAGCCTTTAATCTTTCAAAGCAGAACAAAACAAGATTGAGTTCTACACATAAAACAGTGAGAGAGAGAGAAAAGGTGTGGGTGGGTGAGTGGGTGGCAGTAAATGGGCTGCTTTTCCTTAAAGTTCATTGATCTCTGTGTGGTCACACTTGTGATGAGAATGTTAATTGAACCGGTCTGAAGGACAACATATATTTTATTAGCGCAAAGTAAATCACCAGAGATAGTGACAATGTAATGTAGAACTAAGACAAATTTCTTTTAGACATGTTATAAGAATGGGCTTACATTGTCTTTCCAGGTATGAAGGATTATCATGTTTATCCCACATCACGGCCAGTGTCCTTATAGGCAGGAAATGAACACAACCACTCCTTCAGAGACAATGCTGCTACTGGAAAATGAGAGGCACCCCTCTGCCTCATGCTAGATAGGCTATGGTTCTTGGGCACATGGTACTTGGAAGACCCACAGCACTCCAAGACTATCATCGCCCACAGTGACAGAGGACAGAACCCTGAATCAAACCTGGGACGTCACAAGACAGTGAACAGCAACCACTAGCCCAAAAACCTAAAAAGACACCCAAGACTCTTATTGCTATTTATCACTTAGAGCCTTAGATTGTGCCAGAATCATGCCAGGAGCTTTACAGACAACAAGATAAACTCCCTAATCCAATCAGCTTCTGAGTTCAACAGATGACACACGGGCAAGGGAAGACACACGCTGTCTTCATCACTAGGCAAAGCTCTGGCATTTCTTTGGTGAAATGCTTGGCACCTGTCACCACAGGCTGGCAACAGCAATCAGCTCGCAGGGCCCTCGCCCTTTATGAGGAAGGAGAGGAGCAGGGCTGAGTGCTGGAATCTCTGCTTATGCACCACACAGCAAGGGGGAGAGGGCATACAGAGGTACTCTTGACCCCATCTGCTGCTCTCAGCAATGGCTGCCAAGCAGGGCCAGTGCAAGGATGTTTCACATCCTAGGCAAAACTTCCACTTTGCGCCCTCTCCCCTCCCCGCCCCCCCCCACCCCTGAGGCACACCCCCCCCGCGGCAGCTCCCCACCCCAGCTCACCTCTGCTCTGCCTCCTCCCCGAGCCCTGCGGCACCTCCCCCACAGCAGCTCCCCACCCCACCCCCACCCTGAGGTGCCTCCTTCCCGTGGC